ATGTGGAAGTGTGAGTAGAGCTGCATGCCACCGAACAATCAGCCTTTTCACTGTGTAATTCAAAGCGTGCAGAGTAAGCAGGGCCACAAACCGAGAATTTGCAGTTTGGCAGGTGGCCTTCGTGGCCAAGCAAGGCTGGAATTCTTGGAGTCGGCTTTCGGAAAGAAATTCCCGTTGTCTAGGGGTTAAAGTGAACAATCCTGAAAAATTTCTGAGGAATTACACCCCTGAAATTTCAGAAAACAGTAAGCTGGATGTGACATCAAAAGGTTACTCAAATTTGTGACCTATGCATTGCAACATCTATACCCTTTCACAAAACTTCTACATACACTGTATGTATACAGAATATCAGCCCTATTTACCAAATCATTGCTGGTAACTGGACGAAATTCCAAATCTTCCTGGTATTCCCTGATCATACGGATAAAATCATACTGCGGATGGTTACCATCCATATCCTGAAATGTAAACACAGACAGGGATTGAAAACCAAACATTTAGTATCATTAATAGGTCAGAGAGCAATTTAAAAAATCAAGACAAATGTAAAAAAAGAAGTCAGTCCAAACCAAACCAACAGCTCAATAAGTCTTTGTCTTATCTCCAGTTTCCTAAGAATGAAATGACTGGAATGCATCACTTCCCTTTGATGGGTTACCAGTCCATCCCAGGTTACCAGCAAGCCACTGCTGGTATCCAATACACTCCTGTATGTGTATTATTAAGAGGGGCAAATAGGGATTAACAGGCTTGACCACGGACAACCCATGACCCACGGCTGGATTACAACCTGGATTGGAAGGCGGAGCCATCAAAGAGGGAAGCTCCTGCTCCTACATGTACCTGGTTCCGTTGCTGGATCTGTTCAGCTTGCTTCGCCCGTCTCTCCTCCCGATTTTTCTTAATCTTGTCCACCTCCTTGACAACATTGGACCTCCGGCGTGAAGCAGCTATAGAGATGGATGCATAAGGGTCAAAGGTCAAACACTGAGAGTCAGGGTACCCATATACATGAATATGGGTTCATAAACTTGCATTACAAGAAGCATTTTTCCTGAAACACAGAAGCATTAGAAGACATATACAAGTAATTTGGTAACCCACAAATGTAAATTTTCTCGTTGACAATCTCAGGGAAAATCGCACAGTTTGATGAGGAATTTACATGTACTTTTAAGAGAGCACATTGTATGCATACATATAAACATGATAACAGATACCCATAGTCATTGTTACAAAAACTAATATGTTCATTCATTTTACTTACCGTACATATACATGTAAGTGGCATTGTTTTTAGAAAGGTATGTTTTAGGGGTATAATGCTATCTTTGTTCCATGAGTCTAAACTGTTTAAGATAGAAGTGCATTGTTCAACCCTCCACTCCTAAAAAAGAAACACTTTATTTGGTATACAGTAGGACTAGGGATCACTCAATTCTGGAAATCCTCACAAGGGAGACCAACTCACCAGTTGGCACCTGTTTCTGCAGGTTCTGTACAGGGCCAGCAGGGGCAGGGGAGTGGTGGTTAATGGCTCCATTCTCTGCCTCCTTTAAGACGCTTGGACGACTCGCTCTAGCTGAAGATACTGCAAGGTCAGGTGCACAACGCAGACAGCATGAAGAAGAATATACATGTACACACAGGAAAAAGAAAATGGAAAAAAGGAAGGAAAAACAGGCATTAATGCTTTGGTTGTGTTGAATCTAATGGGATTTATTGCCAATTCACGGATGTACATGCATCATAATGAAGACAACCCTCTGACACCCATATAGTACATGTACATGATCACAATATGACAACCTTTATCATCATACATTAACTATCACTAACATTGGAAAAAGGAACCAAATTTTGTCTCTAAACATTCATTTTGGTGGACGACACACATTGGTAAAATCATTAAAACAATACCCCCTTCACTGACAGGTGAAAATAAACATGCAACATGAGTAATGTATATCAGAATTCAGTAAATCAAAGCAAGCACAGAGTGTTTATGGCAAAAAAAAGAACATACAGGTGCATGTACCCGTCGGTAGAAAATGTATGATACAAAGAGTACACAAAAGCTAATCTGAACTGCCACACCACTATAGCACCTACATTTCAATGGGTGTCGTGAAAGTTAGAAAGTTGTATCGCTACATCGTATCCCACACTGTAAACATACAGTACACAGCATACGGTATACGATACTCAAAACAGGTAAGGACCACTGTTTTCTTAACTTGTAATTTTTTTTTTCAAACAATTAGCGGGGTCTAGTTCTTTCATTTTTTTGTTCGTGTAGATGGTGTTCTCATTGGAATAAATTTTTTTTTAATGTTTCAAAACATTGAATGCACATTTTCAGCAGTAAAAACACTCATATAAAAACAATATACACAAAATCAAAAGTGGCCCTTAAGTTTTTTGAATAAGTGCACTAGCCTTCCACCCCTCCCTACTGTACGTAACCATGTAACTCAAACATGTATAGATGTATTACAATTTGAACTCCAACTACATGTAATGTGATTTCAGAAATGTGCATCTGCGTAGTAAGATGTATAGCTACTGTACTTGTGCACAGCTGTCCATGTACATTGTGCCTGTACATGTAGCTACACATACATGTACAATTGTACATCGTACAATGCATACTCCCTTATAAATAAATTGATGTGCTTACAGTGCTAATAATTTTCATACAAATACAGAGAGACCAAGTAAAGCATACATCTCTCTGCTGTTCATGCAGTGGGCATGAAGTAATATTTCTGATACATGTTCTTTCTGTTCACCTAAAATAAGAACATGTATAATGCAATATATTGATTGAGACAGTGTATGATTTATGCAAGCAATGTGGAACACTCCTGAGTGTCTGAGACAAAAGGAAGTCATTCACATAAATGATACAATATTAAAGAATGTGCAGGTATGAACATGTACAGTACTGATACATGTACATGTACGGTACTTTCTATATGTCAATACATGTACATATCAGATGCTGTAGCATGCCTTTTGGTTAATCTTAACACTGACACTAACAGTCCTCAAACTCCAATTTCAGTAGGCTTTTTCACACACCGGGGGGAGGGGAGGCTATGTTTTAATAAGTTGTAAGTACCAGTAACCGATTAAGCCAATGTGTACATGTACATGTATTTGAGTTCCATAAAACAAGGAAAGAATGATTCTAAGCCTCCCAGAATACATGCATCACTCTAGAAAGAATGCATGCAGTACAAGTCATCACATGCACCACAAGGAGGTGAAAGAGAAGGGGTAGGGTTGGGGGAGTGTTCAGGTTGGGAGGAGGAGGGCAGACTGATGATCCAAGCAGCCACCGCATACAAGAATCCACTAAACTAAACTTCTGTCGAGTAATTTACAAAGGAATTAGTCAGTCATTGATTTACCATCTTCTGAAGCATATATGCATAGAAAGAGGCAGCAAAAGAGAGAAAAAAAACTCAAGTTGATATTGCAATTGCATGCCCGATGATGTCTCACTATCTTAGAGCACGGAGCAAAACTGAAAACTGTAACACCAAATCTGCGATATCACCTTCAGCAGTCCTTTGCTTTTATCTCTTACAAATGAACAATGGTTTTGTTACATGTTTAGAATGCACAAATTATGTGATGCATAGAGTCGGCACATGTACATAATTATCTTCATGTCACATGGAGTCTTTCAAAAGTACATGCACATGTATTACATGTAAGTGGTTAAGTCACCTGACACTGTTTCCATGGAGACTGAGCTGTATCTATCATCAATTTTCAATGCACTAAATGATTGCATTGAGTTTTTTAGGTCACTGAATCCTAAACAGCAAAGACAATTGTAAATGAATTGACGACATGCACATGTATATACCATGCTTTGGATTAATTAATTAATACGGCTTTATAGAGGTATCTGAGGGCATTCTGTCCAGCTGCTGCTACAGAGGAGCATCTCAGTGCCAGCTGTTCCTGGTACATGTACATGTACATATGTAAATGCACGGGTTCGTCTGGTGGGTGGAATACGTAAACAATAGGCCTTCGTGGTATCAGTATAGTTAGTTCTGTCATCCAAGTCCTTCTGCTATGGGATGAGTCACCATTGGCAAATGCAAATTGGCATGACGGGGATGACACTCAGAAGCCATGATGACATCACACCAAGGGCAGGGACAAGATGGATGAGGATGACCTCTCAAGTATTTGGAACATAAATACTAAGAAATGAACATTCAGCACAGACATTTTCCTTAACGCCCAGTGTTGGTGAATTTGTTGTACATTACATGTAACGTAGGTTTCATCATGTAGTTTAGTTTTGTGAACTTTAATTAAAAATTGTATCTTTTCTTTAAAAAAAAATCAAGATTTTTTCTTTACACCAATCCGAAACTGAGAATGCAGAAACAATGAGTGGTTTAGTTGATCTGATATCATTCTGATCAGTGCAAGCCACGAATTCAACTGGTTCACATAGATGTTCAGATACATGTAGGAATACACTGGATGCATCTGATCTATAGAAGGTCATTTCACATTCAAATAGATACATGTGGATCACACAGAAACGTCCAGCAGCTCTCATTACATGTACAGCAATTTTGGGGTTTTCAATCTACAGTCTCATCATCGGGGCTTACCTATGCCATAGAATGCCATGTAAGCAGAACAAACAATGATTAAAGTAATGCAATGTGCGTACACACACATCATTGTAGTACAACGTACATGTAAATTTTTGGCACAATGCAGAGCAAGAGCATCTTTCAATATTTATAAACTGTGAACATATGAAATTCAAACATTATATTCATGCATTAACATTGTTTCAAGTCCTTGACTTAAAGAGGAATTTCACTGAAGAAAAACAAAATGTATATCAATTACTAATACATGTACATGTGGACTCCTGATTGTTCTACATGTACATGTATTTAAAGCTCAAGACTTGGGACATTCAGTTGATAAAGCCTTGTTCCAACCATGGAGCAGCCCCAACCTTGTACATGAACCCTTACATGTGATTTTATGTGCACCACAGATTGGAGCTTCAAATATACTACAAAGGTTAAGAGGCAGCCCATTCAAGGATTAGTGTAGCCCTACATGAACACATGTATAAATACACGTAACTTTTTGTACCGATATCAAACTGTATTCAGCTGAGCATTAGGGGTAGGCAGACTCCAGACATGGACATGCACTGGTACTATACAGGTGTGTACATGTATGTGCTTGAGAGATTATGCTGAGTGTGCAGTCATGCCTGACAGAGCAAATAACAAGACAAACTGAGACATATTTCAGCAAATGTAACCTGACAACTTATTGCAGGCCTGTTTATCAGACTTCAGAAGTTGCCAAAAATGCAGTATGCTACATGGACAGTACATCAGTCGGGGCTAATGAGACAAAGCATCCTACAATGTCAATCAATAAACTGATTTCACCACTACACATTACACCTGTGCATGTACATTTAATTAGTATGACTAAGTATGGTTGCTTGTGAGGTTCTGCATAATGACCCCAACAATTCTGAACGATTTGAACCCCTAGAGCCAGGGTACACATCCACACAACATCCTTTCTAATTTTATACACTGTGGTGTCAGAGCACATGGAGCCCCATCATGGACATCATGGCTGGTTGCCCCTACATGTAATTATGCAGGTCTGGTGTCTGCCTCTCAGATTACCCTGTCCATTTGGAATTGATAATGTGATGACAGCCTTCTGAGTCAGAAAATACATGGTGTACCTGTGTGTTGCTCTTCACACAATTATATTACATGTACCGGTATGTTTACAATTTTATGCTTCTAGCTGAAGTCAAAATACAAAATGCAAATTTCCATACCCAAACATTTGGCACAGCAGGTGGGGAATAGTACCTGCACTTGTACATAGATTTTCTGAATGAATTGTTGGCACACTGACTGACAACAAACTCAATTCTGTCTGGAGTCAGATTTACCTGACACGGTGGACAAAACTTTGACACAACATTACCTATGGGCATTGCATAGATGCACAAAAGACCCACACTAGAAACTGAGGTTGTGTGCGAAGCAACTGGGTACGTCTGGAGTAAACAGACAAGACTATGGGAAAGGGCTATAGCCACAAGCCAGTGGATTCCATGGGCATGGTACTTCAAGTGGCACAATCTAGATCTGGCAAAGCCTCAGCTTTCATACACATACAATGTACATGTAGCTTTCAAAGATGTGTAGACTTGGGAAACCCACCTCACAACATGGGGCCAAGCAAAAACCTCCTGGTGTCTGTGCTGTACCCCAACCACAGCATCTGTCCCAACTAGAGTTGGACCGTCCCAACTGTGATGCGGGGGTCGGGTCTGCTTAACAATGGTATAACATGCCAGTGTGTGCCAAAGCACATTGCAGTGTCATTCTGTATATATACTTTTAAATAGTAGAATCTAGTTTTTGTTTGTGGAATGCTTAAAACACCAAGTGTAAACTGGAAATACCTGAAGAAGGTTGAAAAATTGTAGACATTTACCGACTGAAATCGCTAGACATGTAGTTGGGACTGTCCCAGTAGTTGGGATTGATGCTATAGTTGGGATGTAATATTTTCACTGGTTGCTGTGAAAGCAGTGACAGTGCTGTGGTCTAAATGCATCATAATAGCTCACAATTCAATGTTGCAGTGCCCGAGGTCATGGAAAGGGTTGACAGCAAATTTAGAGGTTAGCTTATTTACATGTACATGTATGCGTTGAGAAAAAAAAATTTCTTGGAGAACCAGCCACAAGAAACACATAGTGCAAGTGATGTTGATGGGTGACCTACTGTACATGTACAGTACATGGTACATTCCCTTGGAAACAAATAGTTTATGTTCTTAGCAATGTATGAAATTGGGCCCCATGTGCTTTGTATATTCTTTTGACCTAACATGAAGTTATCATGGATGAAAATGTTTTAAAAGTACTATTAACCCTAACCGCCAAGCATATTGTTTGGCTTACACTACACAGTACTACAAAATACTAAGTAATAGTCTGAGCCTGAAGGACCTAGTGCTACAGATTACTACTTCTGGCTAGGTTTCTTCCATTGTTACTGATACAGAGAACAATAAAGCCATGCATTCATAGTGCCATAGCACTGTATGGTACATTGTCTTTTCTATTGTATTATATGGCTTCACAGAACAATTAAGTCATGTCCTCTTACAAGCGACAGCGCTCAGTACTACATTTGACCACAAGTAGTAATTTGTAGTATTACGTAGGGTTAGGGTTAAACAAATCTCTAAAATCTAGTCTTCGAGGAAGTTACGTGTACATGTACCATCCATTCACAGTATGACTAAACTGCTGTTCTGACATGGTTTCCCAAATTTATTTTGAGGCATGCAATGAACCCATTAAAATGTGCCCAAATAAGAAAATTAATCAACTGCGATAATAAAAAGTATTTGAGAGTGTCAAAATTGTATGTGCCACATTATCCAATCTCTACAAACTAACGCTTCACTTCCAGACTGAATTTCAAGAAACTAAAATGTTTCAAATGATTTGCAATTTATAACCAAGCTTTAACAGGATGAAGATGAAGCCCATCAACACGGGTTAACAATGCTACATGTGTTGGAGAAAAACATGTATCAACCATCAAGGGCTTTGTTGCAATGTGTCTGTCAACAGTGCCTGACTTGCTGAGAAGTGCTGACTGACTTGTATGATGTAAGCATGACACATACCTCTATTCTGTTCTCTGGCTGGCTTAGCCACATGCTGCGGTTGCTGTACATTAGCTAAAGGCATTCTAGCACTGCTAGGCCTGGCTCGATTACTGGAGGCCGCAGGAGGGGGCTTGGTGTGGGGGATGGGAATGTCTTGAACCATCTCTGGGCTCAGCTCAGGGTTTAGAGCGTAGACCTGCGATATCTCTACCTACAGATCAACAAATTGACGGGAAAATCTCAACGAGTCTATGTTGTCAGTTTTTTGCACTGATGTTTCGGTCATCCGGTTAAGGGAGTGCTATATATTTTACACTATTTTCAACAATCTTTAAGTTTTACGGGCAGTATCCATGACAACAGAGGTTGTGCTCTTGTACATCAGATCTTTGTAAAATTACATGTATGTTCACTAGTCCTGTTTACAAGTTTAAATCTGTTGATTCATGTGCTTTGTACTTCAGACCAAACTACATGTACAACTTAGTGTATTTCTTAACAAGTTATATGAACCATGTTGTTTAACTTAAGGGCACTAGACCTGTGATGTCGGTTGTATTGAGTATCCCCATTGAGGTTACAATTTACTTCACAAACAATGATCCTGCAATGCACACACATTTAATTGCCAATCGACAAAAGCAACAAGTTTACCACAGCAGAAAAACAAAGATCCTAGCAATGCTCGGTGTGGATGTTTCTGTCAAAGAGGGCATCAATGTTTTGCTCACGAATATGAAAATTCATTAGCATAAAAACACAAAAAAAGATTCTCAAGAACCCTCAAAGATGAGACAAATACTGACAGTGTATTTCAAACGTTCTCTCCGACAAATATCTCAGTACTGGGCTCACTATTGGTCAAATGAGGAGGGAAGAAAAGTAGAATAAAAAAATTACCAATTTGGGTCAGGACACAATTTCTGGAGGGGATCCCCCTTACAAGAAATACTGGTTAGTTTGGTTTTGTTGCTCAATGCCAGCAGATGAGCTTCAAGACAATTTCCACCTTCCCAACATCGTTCATAGCGTACATGTACTTACCTCCTTTCCTTTGGTTTCTCCACGCTCAAACCATTCAACGGTAACGCTGTCTGTAGCTTTGCTGATTCCACTGATACATGCTGAGTGAACCCGACCTAGCAGGACCCAGGTATCAAACAAACAAAAAAGCATGATTTCACGGGCCCAAAAATGGAGAGGAAATTGGGATGCTGTGAACCACACTGGCCCGTGTTTGCATACCGTATACATACATGCACATGTAGGCCTAAATCACTGGTGAACTGGCATTGTCCCTAATTTTGTGAGGCTTAAGATCAGGTATACGCAGGTCGAGATTTTGCGACCGCAATACATGTACATGTAACTCTATGGGCAAACATGGTCCTCTAACGAAACCGCAGGAGTGCCCATATGTAGTCAGGGCACAAGACGTATTGACCAGGAAACAGTTGTTGGTAGCACTCCCAATCGTCACTATCAACAAGTCTTGTGCCCAGACCATGTATAGGCCACTCGTGCGTGTTTCTGGGAGGACCATGTTCGCCCATAGAGTTATTCGGCCCGAGTATTTGAATGGAGCAGGCGGCGAAAAGTTTAAGTGTTGTTCGTGTGTCCAGCAAAAACGGTCGGATTTTGACAGATTTTGAAGTCGGATATATCATTAAAGCCCCCCAAATTTTCTTTTGGCATTTAAAGAGCACCTCAAAGGAAAACATGTTTTCTCTGATTTTATCTGTTCAAATAAATATGGAAGCATCCACATCGAAAGCAGTGTCCTTTGTCCTCAGAGCTCAACTATAACAAGCTAAAAAGGGGTTTTTTTTCTGTTCATGTCAAGATGTGAATTCTGAACATATTGAATGTAGATTGCATCATTCTGAGAAAACAGAGAAACCGAGAGGAACCTTCGCCCTGTGTTTTGTAGCCATTTTCTACGAACGCTCCACTCAGTAGAGCCAAGATCAGGCAGTAGCACAGCTCATGCTATTTGTTGGTGGCGTACTAGCCCCGCTAGTGTGGCACGGACTCTCACTCCCGATCCATCCTCAGCCACATATCCGTATACGCTATTTCGTGTCGGCGTACTGAACATTTCAGCGCACAAACTTATCTCGTGGGCGCAATTTCTTTTGCATACGAACATGATCCTTGACCTTTCCGTTTTCACTCACGTTATTCAGGTATTTTCCAGTCTTTTTGCCTTTATCCATTCAATCTAATGGGGCTCGCTCTCTCAGTCGCCATCTTTAAAATAAGATTGTTGAACAATATGTCACTTGACCCTTCATCGTCTCGACGGCTCTTCCATGTCAAGACATATGTAATAAATGGACTGAGCGATAAGATACATGTACTACATGTACCAATGGGCTCGTCCAAAACTTTGGCAGCAGTTTAGATGTCTTGACATGGAAGAGCCGTCGAGACGATGAGGGGTCAAGTGACATATTGTTCAACGACCTTATTTTAAAGATGGCGACTGAGAGAGCGAGCCCCATTAGATTGAATGGATAAAGGCAAAAAGACTGGAAAATACCTGAATAACGTGAGTAAAATCATTCAATAAATGGTTTTTAGAAAACAGAAAGGTCAAGGATCATGTTCGTATGCAAAAGAAATTGCGCCCACCGAAAATGTTCAGTATGCCAATACGAAATTGCGTATACGGATGTGTGGCTAAGGATGGATCAGGAGTACGAGTGAGAGTCCATGCCAAACTAGTGGGGCTAGTGGCATACATGATTAATGCATTTCAAACTACATCATGTGTGCTCCCTTTGAAAAAATAAAAAATTTCTGTGAGCCAACACCATTACAAGATGCCTACCACACACTGACATAGAGCAGCTACATGACCATGCACTAGGGCCTACACCCAGCCCCTGGTTCCAATCCTCACAATGCACCTCTTCTTGATTTATCTTTTTATTGTTTACTACTCTTTTTTTCAAGATGTTTTTTCCATAGGCTACTTGTGGCTCTGAAGGGTTTTTTTTTCCAAGTCTAAAATTTAAATCTAACAGGTCTACAAACTTACAATGATAAACAATGATAAAGTAACTTATGCATGAATGGGAAGGCTTAAACTTGAAAGTTAAATTAAAAGCAGAAAGCATCAGCCAACTCAAATTGAAAAAGGGGACCACCACAGTCACTGTGAACACCATTCACAAAATAGAAGCGTCAAAACAAGGACCATGAAAGTACATAACGCTGCAGCCTGGCCTAGGTTTTAGCCTAAGTAGACGATTTACATGTAAAAACATCACAGACTGAGCTGACCGTGCGATGCACAGCACAATGTCAACCAGGCATGCCAGGTAGCACAGTGCAGTGGCCTTGCAAAGAAGTGCTGCCTGACAGTGGACGGTCGAAAAAAAAAACATTAAAATTTACCGTCACTTCGCTGAATGTCCACATTCATGCCAACTTTTAGAGTACAAACATCCATTCTGGGTGCTTTCCACTTGACAGTGTACAATTAAAAAGCTGCAAACGCGAAATATTCTACAATAACCTCAGCACTTTCACACAGCCCCCAATTTCTCCCGTTGAAATTTTGAACAACCTGCTACGCGTGCGCAGAAGACGTAAGTAGGGGAAAAAATCCGCAGAAACGTTAGTGCGCCCTCTTTTGACAGTGTGTACAAATCGCCCAAACCCGGCCGGACGCACAAATTTTCTGTTTCATTTTTATTTTCCAATAAACTTAGAACGTAAAAAATAGGGGCGTAAACCCTGAGGGAGGGGGTTATATGTCCCCCACTCTTTGACGGGAGATGGACTTTTGGGTCATCCCCCACACTTCAGTTTTGTGGTAAGAACAAGAGACCGATCTTGAGGTATTTTTCGAATTCCTTACAATCACAACACATTCAGTAGACCTAAAAAGGTAGAAAAGTTAACGCTTTAGGCCTATGCCTTTTGATACTAAGGTCAAAGGGTATAAGATCAGTGGTAAGTAATCATTAGATGACATCTGATTTACATATACATCTGTATCATGAACGGAGCCCTCTATTATTATGTGGTATCTAACAGCTCCCCCATGCATTTTTAACTGCCGAGCAATTTTTGAATTGAAGTCAATTCCACCCTGGTCAACAAATCAGTTGACAAAGGTCAGTGCCGTCAGTTCATTGTAAAGAGAAATGTTCTTCATGTTGGTCTTGTTTTAACCTGTAGTTTTCTTTGTGCTGTTTTCAAAGGTTTCTAATGGTGTTTCTTAGACCTTCAACAACATTGATTAAAGACGAGAACCCAACGTTTGCACCAACATTAAATAACAAATAGCAGAGGCGCGTGACAGGGAGCTAATAGAATTGGGTCTGGTATTTTATAGAAACGACGAAGCTTCGATTAACTTTCGGTACTACCTTTAATCTGTTAACTTCATGCAACTTTGTGCTTCCATCTTCTCTAGCGACCAAGGATTCTAATTGCAAACCCTAACCATCTCACAAATGCACTGAATAATTTTATCGTCATTGTTGTAAGTACATGTAATATCAGTTTTGCGCAATGGTACACAATACTATAACTTATTTAAAGTGACCTTGCTATAACTTTAAATACACTACATGTCAGGATGATGTTATTATTCAAGAAAATGTTTTTGCTCTATTTCAAAATCGATGCATATCCTATTCCTGCGTTCATGAGCACTGTAGACATTTTATTCTTCATTACATAAACATACCGTCCAGTGTTACGCAGCTCCGTAACTTTTAAAATAATAAATTCCTTGATATAATATGATATGTACCCTTAGTACTATATATTTAAAAGCATAAATATTTGAAAACAGAAGATATTAGAGACTAGCAAAGACTTATTTTATTATTCAATAGAGGGGCAAAGGGCATAATAAAACAATAAATAAAAAGTCCTAAACATACTGGCTACATCTGTTCCTTGCTCTATGAATAAAGGGTTGTTTACAAAGAATTCTTCTAAGACGTGATTTTTTTAAATCAATATATTCTATCCTTTAGGGTTAATGGCAACTTTGCATAATTATGTTTAAACATTTCATGTTCATAAATAATTTACGGTAAACTTAGGGCCATGTTTCTTTCTGTAATGTCATTCAGGGAAGACATTCATTTCAGTAGTTATTCTATTTCTGAGAAAAAGATGATTGTTGGTTTATTGACATGTACATGTAAGTAGACAATAAATCGCCAAAGAAAAAGTAATTCTGGCCAGTGAGATAATTATAAAAAAAACTCCAGCATTCTTTGCACACAAGGCCCTCTATCGTTAACTCTTGTTCAGTACAGCTAGAGATATGGTGAACCTATTACATCTTTCCAGAAACCGAAACTAAGAGCGTTTGCAAACTCGTCTGTACTCAAAACAGAGATTGCTCCCTTTATTATTATTTACCAGAATGAAATCGTTGCAGTGTTATTTTATTTAATCATGGTGTGTACAGTCGGTACACATTCATAAATAACGGCAAAAAGGGTCTGAGATCTGCTGACTTCAACTTCAACATTGGGAACTACAGTTTATATTTTGTTTGGCGGTCGGCCATACTTTTCCCTGGACCGCCGTGGTTGCTGGCAAGGGCAAAGCGGACCACACACGTCGAACAGCCGGGCTGGGAGCAGACCGCCCGTGTCGTGCGAGCCTGGGTGGGATCGCTCTGAACTTCTAATGTAAACATTGAGGGGCAATGTGAAAAGCGCAGAGTGCATGCTTGCTGTACGTTGATCCTGGCCCAAAATGGTACGGTCCAGTCTTAATTACTATCAGCTGGGTCAGCCTTACAAATCTAAAGATGAAATCCATATTTCATGGAGTAATAACGGTATATCACAAAAGCTGTAAGCGCCACACCCATTCCACTGCCTTATTCGTTTTATTTGGCAGATTAGTTCCATTTCTTTTTTCACCTATGGCAGTACGTGTGAGTCATGGTCATAGTTATGCAGGTTAGCGAATCATTTTTTTTTTAGTTTGAAAATTCTAATTTCGGCTATATTTAACCATATAGAAATTGCCTTGAAAGCACAATTGGCTTTTGTTCGTCTGTCTGTATTTCTGTTTTTACCTTTTGAACTGCCAGAACAAAACATTTACCTTGTGTTAAAATAGACACTCACAGGTCTCGGTATCAGTAGAACACCAGGCCAGCTCAGTGGCTGGTGTTGTCTTGAAGGCCCTACATACGGATATCAAGTGTGGTAAATTTAGCTTTTAGCTTTAAAAGAGTAACTTGCGTTCTGTATTGACGCCCGTCAAGCTAAGGCATAGAGGGACGAGGACGGAAATTGTTAGTGATTTTTTACCATTAAATTTTTGAAATAATTATGTCCTTTTTTGATGATTATGTTTTATTATTTCCCTACAGGATTATTTGAAATTGCACAATGACTATTTTAGTTTTACATAACGTTTGTGTGATTGACGGTTATATTGGCATGCCTTGTTCATCACATAACTTTTCAGTGGATGAAATCGAATCGTCGTGAAGCTTCGTAGCGACAAGGGCGGATCCAGGAGGTCCAAGGGGGCCACCCCCCAAAAAAAGAGCCCTTTTTTAATGATAACAGAAAGTGGCTTTGTATATGATTTCCCTCCCATCAAAAAGTACGCAAAAACTTGGGCCCGAAATGCAGCCTCGTCCCTCAGAAAGGCCATGAAAGGTTACATGACAAATACCGAAGTTTTGACCCCCTTACAATAAATTCGTCCCATCCCCGAAAAATTTGGTTCTGGATCCTCCCTTGTATAGTCACCGGTAAGTTATCGTGAAACGGGATATATGCAAGGGAGAAATCCCGGCCCTGCATGGATCCCATCCAAGTATAGCCAGCCTTCCCGCTCATTCCACCGACTAGCTAGGCCGTTAATACGATACCACAGATTCCTTGCATCCATTTTCAGGAATAATATTTGCTCGGGGAACAAGCTGTGGGATGGCATCAAGGAATTCACCGGGTACGTATTCACTGAGATGGGGGCCGAGTGTACTGCAGCTTACGCACAGGGGATGGAGGTGCTCCTTCGATCTTCATCAAGAGCAGACCAGTCAGGATGATGACGGACTTGATGAGGGGAGACAGGAAGGACGGCAAGAAGGCAGGGCTGACAAATCATCACTGTATCACTCAAAACAGATGGAATCCTCTGTTCTAGTTGGTCTTGATCCAAGCCTGAATTTTGAAGTCCACACCTAAGACTACGTTTACAAATGTGAACCCAAGGAATGAATCCCAAGGACGTGATATTTACAAACAGTGAACAAAAATCTCCAAACCGGTTCCCAACTTTCAGTCTCTCGTCATGCCGGCGGGCGCGAAAGGGCGGATCCAGAGCCAAATGTTGTGGGGGGCCGGGAGTGGGTTCTCTGCTGATTTGTTTTTTAGCGCGGGCCATAAATCTGGAATTTTTTTATCTAATTTTTTGCGGCCTCTATGAGAAGTGAGACACATTTTGAGATTTCTTACACGCTTCTAAAAGGAAGGGAAATTAAATAGACAAGAATTTACCTTTCTCTAATTTTCAAAAACAAATCCAACAAAAAGGTTGGCACTTTTTTTGGGGGGGGGGGAGCATAGCCTCCTATTGGCCCACCATATGGATCCGCCCTCGAGCAACCAAGATTCATAAAGTACTTTTCAGTATATTTCCTGAAGTTATCGACATTCTGGATTTGCAAGTCCAGCGTGATGAATGTTTTGTATGTATTTTTCATCTGCGTTACTTTCAGTTACAGATCTTTGTATCAATAACCCAGAAAGACGGCTCAAAAACGAAGCTTTAATAACCATACGGAGATTTCTTGTCACATGGGGGGGTTGATTTCTGAGAGCTCAGCATGGCCTCCATCCCAGGTAAGATCGTGAGGAGTGCGGAGTGCCCAGTGCAGGCTATAGTTAGTGACTTGAAAAGTGTGTGTGTGGGGGGGGGGGGGTGATTACAATTATTGGTAACCCCCCCCGTAAAAAAGTGGGAGATATATCCCCCATCCCCCGGGATATCCGCCCATGTTTATAACGATTACATTATGTCACATGATTGCTACTCCAACTTCCCAATCTGTACATGAGAAATCGATTGTTTTGTTACTGATAAATTTTCAGCCTTTGAAAATCATCAAATTCATTACTGTATGGCCACATCGTTGTGTCGTGGAGGAATAAAAAGTGTTGAACAGCCAGGATTCGTCGATGACTGGAATATCGCTGAAGTTTTAGTTCCTCTCTCCATAGCTAGCACCATTACCTGTGAACGCAGTTTGAATTCGGGCATTGCCTGTCCCTTGAACAAACGGTAGTTTTCGCGGTTATATCAAGAAACCTCTCAAAGATTTCAGTGTGCACACCATCGAAATAGCTGAAATATGTCGTATTAACGTGCTTCGATGTTGTCGCATCTAAACCAAGAACCTTGTGAGTTTTAAGATTTGGATTCAGTGATTTCAAAGTCGTACAGTGCAAGCGACCACTTTTTAGCATAATGGTGACATTGTTTATACATATCATGCAGATTAAACCACGGATATAAACTCATGTTGTGAAATCGAGCATAAGTGGAGTCGACTGG